TGACTGCTCGATTTGGCCTCGGAGCCGGATCAACACTACCCGAGTCCAGCAACGCCTGAACACCACTGTGAGTGTGAGCACCCGGCCGCCTGTGAACGCCACATTGCCAGTGAACACCACTGCTGACAAGCAGCTCAAGTACGCAGAGCACAACAATATCAATAAAGCCTGAAAGTTGATCGATGCAAGCTCCTCCCTCATCCTTCCACCCCTCCTCCCCCCAACTTGCCCCGAAAGTTGCAGCGAGGACGACCTGGACGAATTTGCATTGGACTTACGATAGCAATCGAGACTGTTGCGATCACGCTCGCATTTACTGCTAGAAGGTCGTGTTTTGACTGTTGGATTGGGCCTTCGGAGCTGGGGTGAAACCCTAAAAAACGACTTGGCCCAGACAATATCATACTTCGAACGATCCCCACCGAAACCTTCGGCGCCTGTCCTACTCCTCGTCCTCCTCGTCCTCATCATTTCCCTCCTCTTCCTCCTCCTCCCATTCCCTTCCCCTCCTCCCTCCTTCCTCCTCCTGTCCTCCTCCCTCTTCCTCATCCTCCCTCTTCCTAACATACGGGTTTTCCAATAGGAAATGGGGTGCATCAGGCGGCCCAAGCAGAAGCAGCCCAAACGGGCGGATGAGTCGTGCTTTCCCTGTTGGATTCGGCCTCCGGGGTGGGGTCGGAAAAAAAAAAAAACGATTTTGCAGAAAAGGCCGGAACCCGGAAAACTAGTGGAAAACATATTGGTTTTCCAATAGGAAATGGTGTAGATCAGCCGGCCCAAGCAGAAGCAGCCCAAACGGGCGGGTCCTTTTCAAAAATGTGGCTGTTTGGGGGTGACAGCAGTATCTCCCCCCAAGGGGTCCCCCCCTTGAAGGGGGGGGGGCGGGTGTCTCCCCCCGGCACGTCCCCCCCTCCGGAAGGGGGCCAGCGCCGCACCGGGGGCCTCTCCGGGCGCCACCCCAGAGAGCGGTCGGCCAGACCGAGACACTGGCCGGCGGTGAGGCGAGAACTAAGGAGTGGCCGGCATTCGGGCGAGAGCGCATGTAAACGTCGTAACCGCCGTCGTCGTCGTCGTCGTCGTCATTGTCGTCGTCGTCGTCGTCGTCGTCGTCGTTGTCGTCGTCGTCGACGCGGCCGTTGGGCTTCAAACGTATTTTGAAGGAAGTCTCAAGCGAAACGCTCGTTTTCCAACCGTTTGGAAATCGATGCTATTGTTTCGAACCGACGTGGAACCGTCAGAACAACCATTTTTGTGAGGGTGTCCCACGCGGTTTGCCGTTTTCGAACCGCCATCCCCTTCTTTCGAACCGAGTTGGAACCGTGAGAACAAGAATTTGTGTGAGGATGTCCCACGCGGTTTGCCGTCTTCGAACCGCCATCCCATTCTTTCGAACCGAGTTCGAACCATCAGGACAGCAGATTTTGTGAGGATGTCCCGCGCGGTTTGCCGTTTTCGAACCGCCATCCTTTTGTGTCGAACTGGGTCCAACGCCGTATTTTGAGGGAAGCCCCACGCGAAACGCTCATTCTGCTTTTGTTTCGAACCGCATTCTATTGTTTCGAACCGAGTTCGAACCGTCTTGAGAGCCAATTTTGTGAGGATGTCCCACGCGGTTTGCCGTTTTCGAACCGCCATCCCGTTTGGCGTAATAAAATTTTAATTTAAGGAACCAAATCCAGGTTCGAACCGCGCCCCGACAGCCCAGGTTCGAACTCCGCCCCGAAAGCGAGGCACCTCCCCGTAACATTGTACCAGGCTCCACGTCCCTAACGGGGCGACTAGCGACGTGCGCTCACATTGCGGACGCAGGATGCACTTTTGCCGACCCGTCAAAATGGGGCAGCCTGTCATCACGGCACAGACGTGCGCTCGCATTGCGGACGCAGGATGCACTTCTGCCGACCCGTCAAAATGGGGCAATCTGTCATCGCGGCACAGACATGTGCTCGCACTGCGGACGAAGGATGCACTTCTTCCGACCCGTCAAAATGGGGCAATCTTTCATCACGGCACAGTAAAACATTGCGGATTAGAGCCACAGGAGAAGGGCAATCTATAGGAACACGCGTAAAACACCAAGGACTCGTGCCCCAGGAGAGGCCCAATACATAGTAACATGAGTAAAACATTTAGGATTGTGTACACAGGAGAAGGACCATCTATAGAAACATACGTAGAACATCACAGAATCGTGCTCCAGGTGAGGCCCAATCGATAGGAGCATACGTAAAACACATGGGATTGGAGCCACTCCTGTTGCCTTCTGAGGCCTCATGCTCCTGGGGCCTCTCGGGGCCTCCTGTTGCCTTCCGAGGCCTCCTGGCGCTTCCTGTTGTCTCCTGGGGTCTCCTGTGGTTTCCTGAGGCCTTCTGGAGCTTCCTGGGGCCTCCTGGAAGCCTTCTTGGGACATCCTGTGGCATATTGAGTCTTTTCTGTGGCCTCCTGAGGCCCTCCTGGACCTCATGTGGTCTCCTGGGGCCTCCCTGGAGCCTGTCGGCGAGCCGTCCTGTGGCTCCTGGAAAGGAATCTGCGCCCACCGAGCCTGGCCACCAAAAACGAAGCAAACACGTCGAGACCTCCTCAACACTCTGGGCCCACCTGGTAGGTGAAAATGAAGGCGCTTCGCTCGCGAAAGACATCCTCCAAATCTGCTCCGAAAGCGAAGTATGTTGGGCCCAGAAACAAGCAAACCGCCTGAGACATCCCCACAAAATGGCCGCGAACGAGCCCGTGCAAACACCCCTGGCGGCTCCCCTTAGGGGTGTTGAAATGAGCGCCTCGCTCGAGACATCCTCCAAATCTGCTCCGAAAGCGAATGATGTTGGGCCCAGAAACAGGCAAACCGCCTGAGACATCCCCTCAAAATGGCCGCGAACGAGCCCGTGCAAACACCCCTGGCGGCTCCCCTTAGGGGTGCTGAAATGGGCGCCTCGCTCGAGACATCCTCCAAATCTGCTCCGAAAACGAAGGATGTTGGGCCCAGAAACAAGCAAACCGCCTGAGACATCCCCACAAAATGGCCGCGAACGAGCCCGTGCAACCACCCCTGGCGGCTCCCCTTAGGGGTGCTGAAATGAGCGCCTCGCTCGAGACATCCTCCAAATCTGTTCCGAAAGCGAAGGATGTTGGGCCCAGAAACAGGCAAACCGCCTGAGACATCCCCTCAAAATGGCCGCGAACGAGCCCGTGCAAACACCCCTGACGGCTCCCCTTAGGGGTGCTGAAATGAGCGCCTCGCTCGAGACATCCTCCAAATCTGTGTATGCGTGAGTCTGTGTAAGAGTAAGTATGTGTATGAGTATGTCTGAGTGTGAGTAAGTCTGAGTATGAGTAGGTCTGAGTATGAGTAAGTCTGAGTATGAGTAAGTCTGTGTATGAGCAAGTCTGAGTATGTCCGACAGGAGGGGGGGAGAAAAGAGGAGGAGGGAGGAGGAGGAGTAGGAGGCGTCCAAGTAATAACAAGAACCCCATCTTAGGATATGGGGAATAATAATAATACTACTGCTGCTACTACTACGACCACTACTAATACGACTACTACTACTACTACTACTACTACCACGACGACTACTACTACTACTACTACTACTACTACTACTACTACTACCACCACCACTACTACTACTACTACTACTACTACTACTACTACTACTACTACTACTACTACTAGACTACTACTACTACTAGACTACTACTAGACTACTACTACTACTACGATTACTACTACTACTACTACTACTACTACTACTACTACTACTACTACTACTACTACTACTACGACTACTACTACTACTGATACTACTACTACTACTACTACTACTTCTACTTCTACTACCACTATTACTACTACTACTACTACTACTACTACTACTACTACTACTATTACTACTACTACTACTACTACTACTACTACTACTACTACTACTACTACTACGGCTACTACTATCACTACTACTACTACTACTACTGCTGCTGCTACTACTACTACTACTACTACTATTTCTACTACTACTACTACTACTACTGCTGCTGCTGCTGTTGCTGCTGCTGCTGCTGCTGCTACTACTCCTATTACCATTACCACTACGACTACTACTTAAGTATGAAAAACGGTACAACCCTACATTCTTAAATTTACAAAATTGGTAGTAAAAGTAATACATCTCAACATATATTGGATATAAAAGAGAAGATCCTTAAAGGATCAATAAATATTTGAGCGAAATCATTTCTATTCGGCCGAATTCGTTTCTAGTAATCTCTTGGGAGCTCCGAATTCTAATTCTCTTATCTTTGAGCGTCTGGAGAAACGAAATAACTTACAAACGAGTTCATGAAGAGTACAAGAGAGCTGTTATGTGGGAGATCCTTGCACTAGCGTACGATGTTCTCTTTAGTTCAACATTATTGTCACCGCGAAGTGCAATTGAAGTTCGTATGGTCTTCTCTCTTGTCTGGCAATTACTTACGCTACGAACCAAATTTTATGAGTAACTGAAGGAATATTTCGAAGGAGGAGTTTATTTGAAAACGACTGCTACTCTGCAAGATGGAGTTTTCATAAGAAAAACAAATGAAACGGATCCCAGATCATACAACACATAACACATTACTAAGAGGACCATTTGTTTTAAATTTAGTATTTATTGACAGGTCATTGAACAAAAATGGTTGTGAATGGCCTTTCGCTTGGACACCACAGCGAAGATCGAAAAAAACAGAAGATAAAGTCATTAAAGAAAAATTGCATGCGATGACAGAATTATTCCTGTTAAGATCAGATGTATTGTGCTGCGTTTTTAAGAGAGATCACAGCCAATACTAAGTTCAAGTTTAGGAAGTGCTAAAGATAGAAAACCATATAAAAATGTCTTCGCAATTCCTGCTAATATTATGTTTGAATTACAACCTTTCGTTCATGAAAAAATACATTACGTAATATTTCTTACGACTGATAAGTGAAAAACTTTTTAGACGTGAAAATAATATTGAAAAATTAC